TAACACAACATTGTAAAGCAACCATACCCCAATTTAAAAAACGTCATAGGGCTTCCCTGGTGGCGCAGTGGTTGAGAGTCTGCCTGCCGATGCAGGGGACACGGGTTCATGCCCCGGTCCGGGAAGATCCCACATGCCGCGGAGCGGCTAGGCCTGTGAGCCTGCACGTCCGGAGCCTGTGCTCCGCAATGGGAGAGGCCACAACAGTGAGAGGCCCGCGTACCGCAAAAAAAAAAAAGTAATAGCTCAACTACAGCTGGCTGTCAGTCAGTCAGTGTGCCCAGGGATGTGCATGCACGTGCCTGTCTGCCTGGGCTCCACCTCCCTGGTACGGAAGACGTGTGGCTCTCACGTGGGGCCATGAGAGCATCTCCGGCTGTGTCTGATAGTTAGGCTGCAGGGGGAGGGCTCAGAGCGGGTGACATAAGGCCCCCGGGTGGCCAGTCCCAACCTGGTGACCCCACAACTGCCTCTTCTGTTCTCACAAACCTGGTTCCCTTTGTCCTCATATCCTGTCACCAGAGAGGCAGCTAAGATTCTAACCCCAAGTGACTCCATGGTCCCAGCCCACGAGGTCCCACACTCAGGTCCCCCAAGCCCAGGCCCCTGCCACTGCTCCCTGGAGGGACCTCACCCTCTCCCGTCTGGGCTCCAACCTTTTTGCCTTTTCCTTTTGCTTTGCCCTTCTGATTGCTGTTCTTGGTCACCACAGCTGCCACCTCTTCCTCCTCCTCCTCCTTCTCCTCTTCTGAGTCTTTGGGAGTGCCTGAGCATTGTAGGGGAGCAAGTCTGTTAACCCCTTACCCTGGCAGAACCCATCTTGTTTTGCAAGGTACGTCCAACACCCACGCCTCACTTGGACCCCTCCCACAACCACAAGAGAGCAACCCCCTTTCACTATTATCAGAAAGTAATAGGGCTTCCCTGGTGGCGCAGTGGTTGAGAGTCCGCCTGCCAATGCAGGGGACATGGGTTCGAGCCCCGGTCCGGGAAGATCCCACATGCCGCAGAGCAGCCAAGCCCGTACACCACAACTACTGAGCCTGCGCTCTAGAGCCCGCGAGCCACAACTACTGAAGCCTGCGTGCCTAGAGCCCATGCTCCGCAACAAAAGAAGCTACTGCGATGAGAAGCTCGCGTGCAGCAACAAAGACCCAATGCAGCCAAAAATAATAAATAAATAAAATAACTAAATTAAAAAAAGTAAAGAAAAGAAAGTAATAGCCTCAGAAAAGCTAAGACACTGCCTGAGGCCACACAGCTATTAAAGTGGGGGTCAAGATGCCCCCAGTCTTCTGACTTTATTATTATTTTTTATTGGGAGTATAGTTGCTTTACACTGCTGTGTCAGTTTCTGCTATACAGCAAAGCGAATAATCCATACATATACCAAGTCTTTGACTTTAGAACCCCTACTCCTCACCCTATTCTGCATCCCTCCTTCCACACCCACGACTGCCTCTGGATGTCCTGACACCAGAGGCCACTGCCACCCACCTTTCTTCTTCAGAGCTTTTTCCCCAGGGTCATCGCCCCCAACCAGAAACATGGCTGCCGGTGTCTTCTTCCTCACTCTGGTCGGGCTCACTGAGCTGTCCTTGTCGGCCTCCCCGGACCCTGTGTGTGTGGATGTGAAGAGGTCACACCCCCCGCCTCACCCAGAGTCCCTTGTTCCTCCACAGACCAGGCTCACCTTTCTTCTTCATCTTTCTCATCTTGGTCCCTTCCCCTGCTGATGCCTCCTTCTTCTTAATCCGCAGAGGTTTCAGTGGGGGGACAGGGCTTCCCAGGTCCTCTGGAAATGGAGGGTGGGAGTTAGACAAAGAAGAGCCACCTTCCAATCCACTCATTGTTCCTTCAGTCCCCAGGGAGGCCCAGAGCACCTTCTGCTTGTCTTGTTTATAACCCTGAGCCCAAAAAGGACTGGATGAACACCAGGAGTTTAATAAGTAGTTAATGAATGAATGAATGGATGAATGCCAGGCCTCCTAACTGAGCCTCTGAATCCCAGCTCCCACCCCATCTCCTCCAGAAAACCTCCTGTGGTCAGTGCTACAGACAGTCCCCCCCGCCCCTCCAAGAGGCCCAAGGTCCTAGCTACATGTCCACATGTAGACCAGACCCCAGTACCCATGGGGCAAGGTGCCCCAGCCAGGGAGCTATCACAGCATTTATTCATTGATTGATTTTTTACTATAATCACTTTGATACTTTTGTAAATATCATAAAAATAATTCATCTTGAGTTTAAAAAAATCACAAAGAAAACTAAAATCCTCTGCCCTCCCTGGCTCACAGAGCACCCTGGGCAGGGGGCTGGGGGGATGGTGGAGGGAGCACATATTGATTTAAGGACCATCGGAGGGAAGAAACTACCAAAGGGAAAAACTCTTGGGTCCAGGCACCGGGAAGCTTTTTTTTTTTTTTTTTTTTGCGGGACGTGGGCCCCTCACTGCTGTGACCTCTCCCGTTGCGGAGCACAGGCTCAGCGGCCATGGTTCACGGGCCCAGCCGCTCCGCGGCATGTGGGATCTTCCCGGACCGGGGCACGAACCCATGTCCCCTGGATCGGCAGGCGGACTGTCAACCACTGCGCCACCAGGGAAGCCCATCTGGGGAGCTTTTTGATGTCTCAACTCCTGTGTATCCATGAGACACCAGGCCTCTCAGGGGTAGGGCTAGTTTTGTGTGTCTTTACCCCCTCTGGACCCTCAACACCCACCCTTCGGACCCTGGGCCTTGGCCTTCCTCTCCTTGATGTCTGCAGAAGGCTTCTCTTTGGAGGGCTTCTTGGGAGGCAGACGGATTTTCTCTTTCTTTTCCTTCTCCTCCTCGTCCTCTTCCTCCTCCTCCTCCTCCCCTGCAGGTAAAAACTGCTCATAACGGGGGCTGGGGTGGGCCCCATTACGTGGGGAGCCCAGTCCTTCCAGATTGCTGGGAGGCGGTGAAGGAGCTGGGGGTAGGAGGCTCCCCTTCTGGAACAGAAACAGGAGGAAGAAAGGAGTTTCGGCACCTTCCTCAGAGAAGGGGGTGACCCCAGAGTCTTCCAAGGTCTACAAGTCAGGAGAGAGAGCTGGAGTTGGGGGGATGCTGGGGGCTTGGCAATCCTGTTTTGGGAAAACGCCCTTCTCTGCAGGTCCTTCCTCTCTCTCTGGGACCCTCAGCTCCTCACACACTCTCCTGGGGTCTTTCAGTTTCCCCTTCTCTGCCCCTTCTAAAAGACACCTGCACTGCTTCTCCCACTCTGCTTCTCCCTGTCCTGGTCTGTTGCTGTTTCTAACTTCAAGCCAGACCCGTCTGAGCTACCTCTGGCCCCTAGCTGCAGGTTTTTTTGTTTTTTAATTTTCTTTAATCTTTATTTATTTTTATTTTTTGTTGGCTGTGCCGGGTCTTAGTTGCAGCACGCAGGATCTTCCTTGTGGCATGTGGGGGTCTTTAGTTGTGGCATGCACGTGGGATCTATTTCCCTGACCAGGGATGGAACCTGGGCCCCCTGCATTGGGAGGGTGGAGTCTTACCCACTGGACCACCAGGGAAGCTGCAGTTTAAGGTAAAACTCTTAACCTCAATGTGCCTCTGTTTCCCCCTCCCGACGATGGGACAAGAACACGAGAATAAAGATTTTCCTGGCTCAAAGACGAAGCCAGGGACGTGGACGCGGTTTTTCCGAGTTGTCTGCCTCTCTCCATCTTTTGTTCCTGTCCAGCCCCTTCCCTCCTCCTCTCCAGACGCCCCCTTCCTTCTGGCGCTCTCTCACCGTCCTCCGCGTCTGGGGCGCGGGCTACCAGGAAGGTCTCCCGGGGGTCGCGCTTCTTGGCCTCGGGGTCCCTGAGGAACTTGGCGTAGACAGTCTGCAGCTCCCGGGCCTCGGCGGGCTCCCGGGAGGGCTCCTCCCGCGGGCTCCTCCTCCGTCCCGCTGAGCCGAGATGCGCGGGTCAGGCGGGACCTCCAACGGCGCCCACTCCCCCTCGGGCTCCTCACCCTGGAGTCTCCCTTGGGCTCTGTTTCCACCTTGGACATCCCTCTCCCAGCTTTCATCATCCCTACACTCCTCCTAACCCCTAGCTCAACCCCAAGCCCGCTCCGCCGCTTCCCCGTCCAGTTACACCCCCGCCACGCCCCTGCTCCCGGGGGGGGGCGTTCCCAGACTCAAGGACACCCTCGCCTGCGGTCGTTCCCTCCCGTGACCCTCACCCGGGGGGGCGCCCCGGGGCCCAGCCTTCCGCATGCCTCCAGGTCTCCGGGGCTTGGATCCCGTGGGGCAGGGGGACTCTGGGGCTTCTGTCTTCTTCTTCCTCAACTTCTGTCGCTGCAGAGTGGGGGTCAAGAGGAGGGAGGGGAAGGAAAGGGGGGCTCTGAGGGCTGCCTATCACTCTCTAATCCCTTGAGCCGCCAGAAATAACCACAGATTATTGGGAGGGGAACTGCGCCCCTTCCTGGGGTGAGGAAGGATGACCCCCTCCCGTGTACCACGGCCACCTCCAATGCCCCAAAGCCCAAGTTCCTCCCCTGGACACCCCATACCCCCAAACACCCCCTTCGTGCAAAAACAAAAACCTCCAGGGAAGCAACAAGCCCCAGAGGCTGCTGAGGGGGACCCTCCCCACTCTCAGACCCCCTACGCTGCGTGGGGGGCTCTTTCTGTCTCTTCTCCAAGTAGGGGTGACATACCTGCTTGGTGCGCTGCGGGACCTCCGGGCTCTGGCCTTCCTCCTCATGCCCGCTGAGGGTAGCAAAGGAATCAGTCTGTCTCCCTCCCCTTTTCCTGCCCCTCCCCAAACCCTCCATCTGGCCCCCCCACCAGGGTTCAGGTAGGATGAGGTGAGGGCTTTCCAGACCTGTCTGAGGCCCACACCTCTCGGAGGGTGTCGTCCTGCAGCGGCATGGTGCCTGCACCTATCCACAGTCCCTGCTCTGGCCACCCTGCAGCCCTAGAAGCTTCCCCGAGGGCCCCAGCTAATCCGGGCTCAGCTTCACCCCCACCTCCTGCTGGCTCAAGAGGGTGGCAGCACTGTGGGAGGTGCTCCTGCCTGGAACCCACCCCCCTGCCTGGCCCACTGAGGGAAGAGGCTGAAAACTCAGATCCTCAGCGGCCTGAAGGATGGCATCACTGTACCAGGTCCTCCCGTTCCCTGAGCTTTGGCTTAGAGATGCTGATTTGATAATTTGTTGGTGGTAAATGGGGCATGGGAAGAAAATATGACATCAGATCCTGTATTTATCTTTCTTTTTCATTAAAAAAATAAAAACTAGGATTTACTAATATTTAATGTATATGGATTGATAGATGCATGTGTATATACTTTATAAAGAAACATGCCTATATTCTGGGTGTCCACCTAAATATCTTTTTACTGATAAGGAACTTTTTTTTTTTTTGGCTCACCTTGCAGCTCGTGGGATCTCAGTTCCCCAACCAGGGATCAAGCCCGGGCCGTCAGCAGTGAGAGCGTGGAGGCTTAACCACTGGGCCACCAGGGAATTCCCAGTAACATGTTTTTTAAGAGTTTAGAGACAAGGGATGTAGTGTTGATGTGATTAATATCATGGGAGAGGTTTGGTTAAGTGCAGAGGAAGCCCAGAAGAGGGGCCCTATTGGGGGTCCTAGAGGCTTCCTGAAACCTGATCTAAAACTTGAAACTCAAAAAGGTGAGGGGAGTTCTGCAGCCAAAAAAAAAAAAGAAAAGAAAAGAAAAAAGGAAAAAAAAAAGTGGGATGGGCTATACCTGGAAAGGGAACAGCAAGATAGAGACCTAGAGGTTGGAAACAGGCAGATGTATTCAAAGGTCTAGGACTAGGAGGGAGGCAGCTGTGTCAGGCATGGGTCAGTCCTGAGCCCAAGCTCTAAGCTCTGCCGCTTAAGAGGTGAATATCCTTGGGTGACAGATTTAACCTCTCTGGGCCTCCATTTCCTCACTTATAAAGTGGGTTTGATAAAGCACTGACCTAGTAGGGATGTTGTGCAGATTAAGTGAGATGACAGATGGAAAGTTGCAAACAGTGAGCGCTCAAAAATTGGTAATTATGTGCTCCTTTTCAGAGCACTTCAGCTTCATCTCTGTCTCCTCAGCACTTACAGCACAACTTGACACATGATTGGGGTTCATTTTTTTCATGAATGAATTAATGAGCACAGTTTTTCTTTTTTTTCGCTGTGCGGCTTGCAGGATCTTAGTTCCTGGAGAAGGGATTGAACCTGGCCCTCGACAGTGAAAGCGCTGAGTCCTAACCACTGGACTACCAGGGAATTCCTTATTTCATGTGATTTTCACTAGACAAGAGTCCAATGAGATAGGCGAGGTAGACATTATTATCTCCATTTTATAGGTGGAGAAACTGAGGCCCAGGGAGGTGAAGTGACCTGCTCAGTATCAGCCAGATGAAAACCAGCTCTGTCTCCTGTCAGAGCTTTTGTTCTTAACCCTTTTATATTTTATACAGTCGAAACGATTAGAGATGGAATTTGAATGAAACAGTCTTTTTGTCTTTCGCCACTTCCTTGGTCCACCTGATTCAGATGCGCCATAATTAATCTTCCTAAAATACCACTTCTTCTGTTGACACCTTTGCTCAAAAATTGTCATTGGGTCCCTACGATCAAGTTTAAATGTGCTGAGTTGGCATTCAAGGTTCTCCCTGATCTGGCCCCAATCTGCCTTTCTAACTACAGGGCTGTCTCATACCCTACTCTCCATCCAGCCCCATAGGTTTACTTATTTCCTTTATACTTTCTCTCCTTCATGCCTTTGTTCAAGCTGTTCCCTCCTGGAATCCCTATTCCATGAAACCCATCCAACCCTAAATAGCCCTCAAGTCCCAACCTCCAAGATTCTTTGGTCCTCATCTGACTCTGAATGTGTAATAATCATAATAGCATTTATTGACCACCTACCGTGCATGAGGCCCTTGTTCCCATTCTCTCTCCACCCTCATGATGATATTTATAAGGCAGACACTAAAACCCTGATATGAAAGGTAAGGAAACTCACAGGTGAGAGTCAGTCAACAAGTATTTCCTGGGCACTGACTCTGTGCCAAACAGTACTGGTTATACAGTAATGGACAAAAAGTTGTGGTCCCTGCCCTCATGGAGCTTCCATTCTTGTGAGAAAGACAGATGGTAAAGCCATAAATAAACAAATTAGTTATAATGCTCTCATTATTATTAATTGTAATAAATTCCAAGAAGGGAAAGAACTGGGTTCCATGAGAATAGCGGGGCTGGGTGGGGGGCAGTCTGGATATAGAGAACAGATGAGGCTGTCTGAGAAGTGAAACCTTAAACTGAGACCTGAAGGATTTCAAAGACTGGGAAGGAGAATGTTCCAGGTAAAAGGCACAGCTTATGCCAAATGTTTCCAAGCAGCAAAGAACTCGGCACCATGGAGCAGTGGGGTCCCCTCGACCAGGACAAGAGCGACCCTGCCTAAGAACCGCCCTTCAGAGGGTTCTGGAGAATGTCCACCCCCAAACAAATCCATGCCAAGAAGCAGAGGGTGCCTGGCGCTCAGCAGGCTGTAAACGTAAACATCCTCGTTCTAACACTGCTCAGGCCCCAGGGAACACTGCTCCACATCTCTTGCCCACTGTTCTCAGAACAAAGATTCCTGCACCGGCCTGTGGGAGGCGTGTCGGCTGAGCTTCGGCCAATGCCAGAGATGGACCCTGCTTTGGAGCTGCGGGGAAGATTTGAGCAGCAGAAGCTTTTAAGTGAAAGAAAAGGTAAATGCAGTTCTCATATCTCTCCTCTCGGGTTGCATGGATATCACAGATACTTGCATAACAAAGTGTCCATTTACTTGTTTCTTTTCATGTTCTGAAGGGTCTCATGAATCAGCACTGTCTTCATAACAGTTGCACATGGCACCTGAGGAACACTGTACAGTACTGAACAATTCACATGACTTAAACTTGTGCATATATAGTTCTGGACATGACGTGTGAAGCATGGTAGCAATTCTTCATGTTGGCAACTAGTTGGATGCTATTTTGAGAACAGTTCAGTTTTTCTAAAAGTGTTTAATAAGATGGAATTAAAATTTCTAAAAACCATTTAAATTTGATTAATTTTGGATATTTATTAAGTGTAAACTATATTTCCCTTTAAATTTTAATACATAATTTTGAATATATAAGAAGAAAAGTCACTTCTCAAAACATACATGAAAAATAATTTTAGTTAAAAAGTTTCACATTTACTTAGTTACTTTTTTTTTAATTTTTATTATTTTTTGGCTGCATCAGGTCTTAGTTGCGGCATGTGGGGATCTTTCGTTGCAGCACGCGGGCTCTTAGTTGGGCGGCACGTTTTCTCTAATCTAGTTGTGGTATGCAGGCTCCAGAGTGCATGGACTCTGTAGTTTGCAGCAGGCAGGCTCTAGTTGAGGTGGGCGAGCTCAGTAGCTGTGGCACGTGGGCTTAGTTGACTCGCAGCATGTGGGATCTTAGTTCCCCGACCAGGGATCTAACCCTCGCCCCCTGCATTGCAAGGCGGATTCTTTACCACTGGCCACCAGGGAAGTCCCTACTTAGTTACTTTTGAGGAGAATGTATTCAAATTTTGTACACTTTGGATGCAATGACATGTTTTTTGAGTCCTTTGAGAGTTAGTCTGGGTCCAGATCATGATAGGAACAGAAAGTAGCGAAGTGGAACTCAGAAAAGAATAAAAAGGAACTTCAGAGTTTTGGTACGGGCCAAAGTGGTGAGCATGTGTGGGAAAATTAGAGGCGGTGTCAATGTTTAGATTTGGGTCAGGGGTGGGTGGGTTTAGGATTGGCTGTCAAGATTTTGGTGAAAATGAGGGTGAGTTTAGGGATAAGATTCAGATCAGGAACACACATAACTTCTGATACCTTCTGATCTGACATCAGAACACCAAACCTCTCCACAAAGAAAAACAAGCTTGTGGCTTTATAATTACACTTTGTTTTGGTCTAAAAATGACATTTCTCAGCTCGATCACTGGCAATAGTCACCAGACTCAACTCCACCTGAATTTTAGTTGTTTTCTAAAATTAAATCTACTTTCAGAAGACGAAGATTTGCTACCACCAGTGACTATGATGCTGATCAATGACTCCTACCATATGCCAGGCACTGTGCCCAGTGCTTTCAATTTATTCTCACAGCACACTTTCATGTCTGTGGCTCAGAGAAGTTAAGTAACTTGTCTAAGGTCACACAGCTAGTGCTTGGTGGAGCCATCCCATTTACAAGCACCTACTAGGTGTGCAGTATTGTGTTATCTCTAGTCCCTGTGGAAACTTTGAAAGGGAGTGAGCTGGGTTAGAGAGTGGTAGAGATGTGATGGAAATTCTTGGGTGGGTGTGTGTGTCAGTTATGACAGAGTGATGATGGAATCTAGTGGCACAGGGAAAGTAGAGGACAAGACCACAGGGGAGAGGAGTGCATGGCAACAAATGGAGAGGCTGGGCATTGGAAGAGTTTGGATAAGGAAATCACCAAGAATTAGGACAGGAGTGTGCCACAGAATCATGAGCCAGGAGCCAAAATCCTTGAAGAATAATATAGTCTGATGATATAAGATTCAAAACTGAGGTCCTTCCTAGGGGTAGGGAGGGAGGTGTAATGGCCTGGAAGCATCTACTTGTTCTCCAGTATGTCTTCATCTTCCTTAATAATGAAGTCCCTGATTTGTAGCTGAGCATATAGACACGCAGAAAAAGACATGTCCCAGCTTTCCTTGCATCCATGTAGCTAAATTCCAGCTATTGGGGAGGGTCCTTTACAGAAGAGGTGCACCCTTCTTGGTTACTTTTTCCTTCTCACTGACTGGCAAGAGAACCTAATAGCTGGAGCTCTAGCAGCCATCTTGGACCATGAGGTAACCTTGGGAATGTGAGCTGCCCCTGTGGAGCAACCAGCTAGGAGCCTTGATTTGAGAGAGAGAGAGAAGAAAAAGAAAAAAAAAACCACAAACCCATCTTGCTGAAGTCACTGTGACATGGGGATTTTTTTAAACTTGTAATTGAACCTAATGCAAATGGCTGCAACTAGAAAGTGATGTTTGGGTTCTACTGAAGATGACATTTAATGCTAGTGGGCATGAGTGGGTGCTAAGAAGCCTTGGAAAGTTGTTGAACAGAAGGTGAGCTGACGAGAACTGTACATTCAGAAAGGCTGTGGAGAATAAATAAAAAATAAGGTGGAGAGAGCTGAGGTGAGGATGTGTAGTTAAGGGGGACATTTAGATATTCTGAAGACTCAGATCAGTGATGGCATCTGAAGGACTGGGTCTGGAAGTCAGGTTTTAGGAAGGTTGTGAGGTTGGTGTTAGGTTTAACAAGCAACTCAGGAACTTGATTATGGCTAGAGTCAGGTTGGGGTGAGGTTTTGAGCTGAAGTTTATACCAGGGTTGGATTTTAAGTCAGAAATTGGAAGAATCTAATAGCAGGGCTAGGTGTCACTGGAGGTGTCAGGCAGACTTAGGAAGGGACATTTAAGTGTTCTGGGATATGCCTGGGGCTTAGTGTCTGAAGCAGTGGTACTCAGGTGAGGCATTTGGAAATGTATGGGGTGTTTTGTTTATTTATTTATTTTTATTTATTTAGTTTTGGCTGTGTTGGGTCTTCGTTGCTGCGCGCAGGCTTTCTCTAGTTGCGATGAGTGAGGGCTACTCTTTGTTGCAGTGTGCAGGCTTCTCATTGCGGTGGCTTCTCTTGTTGCGGAGCATGGGCTCTAGGCATGCGGGCTTCAGTAGTTGTGGCACGTGCGCTCAGTAGTTGTGGCTTGTGGGTTCCAGAGCACAGGCTCAGTAGTTGTGGCGCATGGGCTTAGTTGCTCTGCGGCATGTGGAATCTTCCCGGACCAGGGCTCAAACCCATGTCCCCTGCATTGGCAGGAAGATTCTTAACCACTGCGCCACCAGGGAAGTCGTGTGGGGTGTTTTGAATTGTCACAATGACAGCGGAGTGTGTGTGTGTGGTTTGCTCATGGTGTTTAGAGGCAGGAGCTCGAGATTCTAGATGTCCTGTAATGTGGGAAACAGGCACGGTGGTCTAGCCCCAAATGCCATGCATTCCTGGGAAACACTGAGGCAAAGTGGCGTCAGGCAGAAGAGAAAAGCTGAGCACTATTGAGTTAGAATCCTGCTCTGCTGCTTTCTTCCCCAGGTGGACATAACCCTCAGTTTTCCCATCTATAAAATGGGATGATGATAGAGGCCTTGCAGGACTGTGTGATTGGTAATAAGTTTGCAGACGGCCCAGCACAGGGCTGGCCCAAGGCCCTGCAACTGGTAGATGTCTGGACCAAGCTGAAGGCAAATCTGGGTAAAACTGAAGTTCAGTCTGGGTTTGGGTTCGTTTGGGGGTCATGATGCCCAACCACAGCTGTGTGTTAGAATCACTCAGCTCAGGAGGCTTTAAAAAGTGCTGATGCTTGGTCTTACCTCTCAGAAATTCCGAGTTAATTGGTATGGAGTGGGTCTTGGGCAGTAGTAGTTTTAAAAGTTCCTTGAGTGATCAGAGCCTCCTGTGGGGCCTGAAACTCTCACTCTTGAAATTACTCCTCTCAGTAAAGCATTGGTTCTCAAAGTGGGTTCCCCAGACCAGCAGCATCAGCGTCACTCCAGAACATGTCAGAAGCGCAGATTCTCAGATTTCACCTCTGACCATCAGCAGCTCTGGGGTAGGGCCCAGCGATCAGCATTCTAGCACATCCTCTGGGGATTCAGATACCCACTCAAGTTTGAGAGCCACTCAATACAGCACCATCTCCAGGAAGCCCTCAAGAAAGGTAGATGCTATTTCACTGTTGGGTAGTTCCCCACACTTCTCTGAATAATGTCACATGAGCTGTGAGGACAAGCTCCATGAGGCCAGGGACTTTGTCCATCCCATTCACAGCTGTCTCTCCAGGGTCCACAGCATGTGATGAATAACTGAATGAGGTGAGAGAGACAGAGACAGAGACCGAGAACTATCTCAGGTGCTGTGAACTGGGATGAGAGGAAGACCCTGCCTGTCTCTTTTTCTGTCTTGGTCCCACGACATGTGAGTCTAGTGTTTCTAGTGTTTAAAGATACAGATTCCTGGCACAAATGGGTCCTTAAACGCCTGTCTCTCCACCCAGTGCTCAGGGGAAGAGATGTGGACTCCTTGCACCCCTGGTGGAGCACCGCCCCGGCACTTGTTCAGAGTCCATTTGTGTCTCCAGTGTGGTGCTCACGTGTGGCAGGTACAGTATCTGACAGGCAACTTACGAGATATTTTTCTTCAAAATTTTTTTCTTTAGTTTTTCCTCCAATGTTCATTTTTTTCTTTAGTTTTTCCTCCAATGTTCATTTTTTTCTTTATTTTTGAAACAATTTCAAATTTACACATAGTAAATTTGAAAGAATAGTATAATGAACTCTGGCATACCCTTGGCCAAAGACCAATAAGTTTTTCTTATTGTCCCAATGATGGCTGTTATAAGTCCAGGAAAACACTTTGCATTCTAGTCCTCGTCAATCTATGAGAGATTGTCAAGGGCAATTCTGCTATGTGCAATTTTCACTTATGGGCAATTAAAGTAATTTGAGAGTTGCCTTCAGGACACAACCTCCACGTAAGAAGCCACTTCCTGGACAGCATCTCAGCTGAATCCTTGGGGGGTGATCAGGGACTATGAACCCAACCTAAAGCCAGGTAGGATTCTGCTGATGGCAGGTGACAGAAGTACAGTGCAAACTAGCATAAGCTCAAAAGGGAACTGATTGGCCCCTCAACTGGGCCAGGTAGACGCAGTCTCACCTCAGGCATGGCTGTACCCAGGGGCTCAAAAGGAGTCCCCAAGTCTCTCTCTCACTCTGCTTTCCTCTGCGTTAGCAGGAAAGGTGACCTCTGATGGCTCCCTGACCACATCAGTTCCCCCAGGTGGGGGCCTGACTGGCTCTACTTGGTCACTTGCTTACCCCCGGATCTGTCGGTTTGAGTCTGAGAATGGAGGTACTCTGATTGGCCAGCTCGAGTCATGTGCCCGCCTCTGGGCGGGGCTCTGTTTTTGATTTGAGAGAATAGTAGTTATAAAACGGGAGAGGGTTTTTGCTGCTCCTGATCAATTGGTGAGTAGTCCACACGGGGAGCTATTGTCAGAGTCAGGAATAATAATAATAGCAGCAGCAGTAGTTGTAACATTTATTGAGAGCTTGCTGGGTTCCGGGCATTGTTCTAAGTGGGTTTTCTCTTAATTAGCTCATTTAATACTCAGCCATTTTATGCGGTTGATGCTACTTTCATACATGTTTTCCATACCCGCAACTTCACAGAGAGGTGCAGTCACTTGCCCAAGGACACAGCCAGTACGCAGCAGAACGCGGGGCCCCACATCCTCAGGCCTCGCTCCAGAGTGGGTGCTGGCGCGCCTGGGAGCACACCTTCCACTATCCTCCCTGCGGTAGAACCTGGACTTCTGCTCCAGGCTTGGACTGTCACGTGGCACTCTCGCCCTCCACTGCATCTGTGAGGCTGGCGGAAGCGGAACACCTCGGTTCAGATCGCTTATGGGAAGTTTGCCATTACCCCCAGAGCCCCAAGAAACACAAAACAGAATGGGTGAATTTTTTTTTTTTTTTTTTTGGGGTACGCGGGCCTCTCACTGTCGTGGCCTCTCCCGTTGCGGAGCACAGGCCCCGGACGCGCAGGCTCAGTGGCCATGGCTCACGGGCCCAGCCGCTCCGCGGCATGTGGGATCTTCTTGGACCGGGGTACGAACCCGTGTCCCCTGCATCGGCAGGCGGACTCTCAACCACTGCGCCACCAGGGAAGCCCAGAATGGGTGAATTTAGAGCAGTGGTTCTCACTGGCTGCCCACAAGAATACTTAGGGGAACTTCACAAAACCGCAGTGCTCAAGCCATATCCCAGACCAATTAACCAGAATCTCTGGGGTGGAGCCCAGGCATTAGTAGTCGTTAAGGTTCCCCAGGTGAATTAAATGTCCGGCCAAGGTGGGGAATCACTAGTTTAGAGGCCTTGTAGCTTGGTAGAAATAGCCGTGGTTTAAGATCCACCTGGGTTTGAGACTTGGCTCTGCCATTGCAAGCTGTGTGACTGTGTGCCAGTCACTTAACTTCTCTGAGCCTCAATTTCCTTATCTGTGGAAACGGTATAAGTCCCTCTACTTTATGTGAGGGCTGAATGAGACAATGTCTGTAAGGCCCCCAGCACAGAGCTGGTACTCAGCTCCATCCTTACTATTAAGGAGGGGGCAGGACAGACCAGCCTGTGCAGGACCATCCAGGGAGGCAGAGCTGTGCCAATGACTCACCATCACTAGGTTGAGGCTGTGGAATGGACTCTCGGGGCTGCTGGGACCCTCAGACCTCAGGCCCTCCCGCCTTGGTCTTCCACCCTTACGGAGGGACTTGAGGCTTCTGAGTAGGGTGAGCTTGGGATGGAATGGGCAGGGGGGGAGTTGGGGCAGAGTTGGGTGGGGGACGGGGGGAAAGGCTGTGTGAATGCACTGACTTAGTCTCACCACCAGGTGGCGACAGGAACCTACCCGCTGCGAGAGGGTCAGCCAGGCTGAAGGAGAGGACCACTGGGAATAACGCAAAGATTTTCGAGAACTTTTTTGAGTACTAGGTAAATGCTAAATCTTTATTTTCTTTCACTTCCATTTACTTAATGCAACAGTCCTGTGGTAGGCGCCATTACCCTCCTTTAGGGGATGAAATGGAGGTGGTGCTGGTAACTGGCGACCAGGAATTTAACCCAGTCAGTAGGACTCCACATTACTCTCTTAACCACTGAAGTCATAGTCACAGCTACAGCGGCCTTTGGAATTCCTCGGGCCCTGTGATTCCCAAACCTGTATGATGATAAAAATCACCTGAGGCTCTTTTAAAAAAATTCAGAATTCCTGGGTCCCAGGACAGGCACTGAATTAGAATCTCCCAGGAAAATGGGCTTGGGAATGTGTGTGGTTAACAGAAGTTCCTGTTTGGAAACATGAATCTGCTCTCAGAGAGGGAAAGTAACCTGCCCAAGGTCACACAGCCAATCCCCTCCAACCTCTTAATACCCTCTAATTCGGAAGCCAGGCCATACCCCCCAAAAGATGAGACAATATAGCACATGACCCAGCAATTCCACTTCTGGGTATATGCCCCAAAGAGTTAAAAGTAGGACCTTGAAGAGATATTTGAGCACCCATGTTCATAGCAGCATTATTCACAATAGCTAAAAGGTGGATGCCACCCAAGTGTCCTTCAACAGATGAATGGATAAGCAAATGTGGTGTATACATAAAATGTATTATTATTCAGCCTTAAAAAGGAAGGGAATTTTGACATATGCTACAACATGGGTAAACTTTGAGGGTATTATGCTAAATGAAATAAGCCCATCACAAGAAGACAAATACTGTATGATTCCACTTATAAGAGGTACCTAACATAGTCAAATTCATAGAGGCAGAAAGTAGAATGGTGGTTTCCAGGGGCTGAGGGGAGGGGGCAATGGGGAGTTATTGTTTAATGGCTACAGAGTTTCAGTTTTGCCAAATGAAAATGGTTCTGGAGGTAGATGGTTGCACAATAATATGAATGTACTTACATTGAACTGTACACTTAAAAATGGTTAAGATGGTTAATTTTATGTTATGTGTATTTTACTAGGATACAAAAAGTCGGAAAAAAAAGATAAGACAATCTATACCCAGCCCTGGAGGGTTGATAGTGGTGAAGCATGAGAAGGTGTGTGATTTTCTTCATCTTTTGAATGATTTTATGAATAAATATTATACGGAATTTGATGAGTATTGTCAGATCACCTCTCTCCTCAAAAAGGATTGTACTAATAATGTATGGATGTACTTTTTTCCCAATAACTTCACCAATTTTGGGTTTTATTATTTTACTTTTTTTCCTGTTTAATGGGTGAGAGATAGTACTTCATTATTATTTAAATTTGCATTACCGCTTGTTAGACTTAAAGTCGAAGATCCAGAATTGACCAGTGTCATTGATAGCCTCAGAATGATTTTCCTCAAAATGTTAATTCTTGGGGAATTCCCTGGCAGTCCAGTGGTTAGGACTCTGTGCTTCCACTGTAGGGTGCCTGGGTTCGATCCCTGATCTGGGAGCTAAGATCCCCACAAGCCACACACACAGCCAGAACAAAGAAACAAACAAACAAAATGTTAATTCTCGATTTATTATACTGAATAAAACAAGTCCATGTTTATTGTTAAAGTAAATTAAAAAACCTACTAGGTCTGTTATTGAGAGGAGAAAGTGGCTCCTGCTTGAGCTTCTGCCATGATTGTTCCTGCTTATTCAACATTAATTCCAGGTTCTGAGATGGAGGCTCACAAAGAGAGGGGTGGGTTTGGAGACCACAAGTGTAAAAACTCCTGTTCATTTTGTGGCACCTCGTGGCGGCCCTCCCAGTGGCTGTTCTTACGTACCTTCTAGGCCACTCTCCTTGTGATGGGGCAAAAATGGTCAGTGAGAGGCTGGCATAGACATGTGCCCCTCCCCCCCAAACATAAAAGAGTCCTGTAATTATTGGTCCAATTTCTCCTCCCTCCATCTTCCCTTCCTAAAGAAGCCTGATTCTTCCATGTGGGAAAGTGGCTGAGTTGAGCTGGGTATGGACGAGGAGCATTTTTGATCGCTTTATTTTTTTTTTTGGTGGGAGATAGAGATTGAGTAGCTCCAGGGCATGAGGAGATTTTAATTAGTGTGGCTTTGAACTATGTATTTGACTCCCTTTAAATCCCTTGAGAGGTGTGACTAAAGAATGAAATTGCTTGTTAATTACTTTAGGCTATTGGGTTGTATTTCTTGTGTCAGATACCATTCTGAGACTGAGTCACATGTGCCCACATTTTATTAGGGTTCCACCCTTACTAATGAAGACTTGGGCATGAGCTCTCGAGCCTCCAACACCCTGGGGTCTTGGCTCCTTGACAGCCCTGCCACCCACCACCAAGGCCACACCTTGGACCCTGTCATCACCCGAAACTGCTCCACCTCTGAAATTACAATTCAGACGTCCCACTCTTTAGTGACAATCACCTCCCCCAACCCCTGCCCACTTTCCTCTACCACACCTCTCCCCTGACCCCACTGGGGCTTCTAGCCCATTGATCCCTATTGTTCTGCCCAAGCATCTTTTCCCTTTTCTGTTGGTAATGACACCCACTTATTCCTTGGAGGAAACTTCATTTTTTCTCCCATATGGGTAATATGATTCAGGTGAGGCTGACTCTACCCTCACATCTGGGCAATCATACTTCAGATTCTTGGCTACATCAGTTGGTCAGGGGTGGGCATGTGACCCTGTTCAGTCCAGGGAGAGCCAACCCAGTACTATTGCTGAGACGCCAGAGAAGGGGACGTTTTCTTTCTGCTCATGTGGCTCACCTTGCAGAACTTAGCCTGGACTTGTGAGGGCTGTCCTGGGGTCGAGAGCCTGCAGGATAAGGAGGAAAGCCGAGCAAAGAGGGGAGGTTCCTAATAATCTCATTGGAGTATCTGGAACCAACCATTCCTGAAACTACCCTGGGTTTTTCAGATTTGTGAGTTGATGTCTGAGATCTGTGAGTCAGGATTAGATTCTATCACCTGAAACAGACGTGGCTATTACAGTGCCACTCCATTGAGGCTCTAGATGAGGGGTGCCTAGACGTGGTTGCTCATCAGAATCACACGGGAAGTGTGATTTTTCCCTTAAAACCTTTATAGATACAGAAAAAAGCATAAAACATAAATGTATAAGTTAATGTATTATTACAAAGCCAACTCCCATTGTAACCTCATCAAGGTCAAGAAAGAGAACACTGGGGACTTCCCCAGTGGTCCAGTGGTTAAGACTCCGCCCTTCCAATGCAGGGGGTCGTGGATTCAATCCCTGGTTGGGGAACTAAGACGGTTTGGCCAAAAAAAAAAAAAGAATGTTGTTCGACTCAAAGCCTCAGCCCCTCCTCCCCTACGTGGAACCACCACCCTGACTTCTGTGCAATCTCATTCTTGCTTCTCTTGATCATTTTCAGTATGCTTTCCTAGACACTATGGGGTAGTTTTGCCTGTTTTATTTATTTATTTTTTAAAGAAGTACCTCTCTTCTTTAATATTTGCAGTTATTTTCTAACATTTATTTTATTTATTTTTTTGGCTGCATTGGGTCTTAGTTGCAGCACACGTGATCTTCGTTGCGTCATGTGGCATCTTTCATTGCGGCATGGGGACTCTTCGTTGTGGGGCGCGGGCTTCTCTCTAGTTGTGGCGTGTGGGTTTTTCTCTCTCTTGTGGTGGTGTGCGGGCTCCAGGTCATGTGGGCTCTGTAGTTTGGGGCGTGCAGGCTCTCTCGTTGAGACATGTGAGCTCCGTAGTTGTGGTGCACGGGCTTAGTTACCCCGCAGCATGTGGGATCTTAGGTCCCTGACCAGGGATCGAACCTGTGTCCCCTGCATTGGAAGGCGGATTCTTTACCATTGGACCACCAGGGAAGTCCCAGTTTTGCCTGTTTTAGAATGTTGTACAAATGGAATTATTTATTAATCTTAATGAAGCCAAATTTGTCAGACTTTTCATTTAAGGTTGGTGCTTTTGTATCAGGAAATCTGTCACCACCCTGAGGCTTTCATCCTCAAACTTTTCTTTCACCTTCTATCGCCTTTTATAATCTTTATTGTTCTTTATTCTAATCTTTTATTGTCTTTATGATCCCACTATGGTGTGAGGTAAGGGTCGAGTTTCATTTTTTCCCTATATGAACACTCAATCTGTTTATCGAAAAGGCTCATCTTTCCCTGCACTCTTTCGTGCTACATAAATCACAGCTTGTGTCCATCTCGGTGTCAGCTTCTAGTCTTTTCTTCAGTCTGTCTATCCTTGCAAAAATACTACCCTCTCCTAATCACTGTACTTTTATGAAGTTTGATATTCAGTAGAGCGATATTCCTATATATATATATATATATATATTTAGGAAGATATTCTTGGCCATTTCATCGCCATATTATTTTATTTATTTTATAAATTTAATTAATTAATTTATATTGGTTGCGTTGGGTCTTTGTTGCTGCACGTGGGCTTTTCTCTGGTTGCAGCGAGTGGGGGCTACTCTTCGTTGCGGTGCACAGGCTTCTCATTGCGATGGCTTCTCTTGTTGTGGAGCACGGGCTCTAGGCGTGCGGGCTCAGTAGTTGTGGCTCATGGGCTTAATTGCTCCGTGGCATGTGGGATCTTCCCGGACCAGTGCTCGAACCTGTGTCCCCTGCATTGGCAGGCAGATTCTTAACCACTGTGCCACCAGGGAAGCCCCCTCCATATGTATTTTAGAATCAACCTGTCACATTCTACCAAAAAAAAAAAAACAAACCATGAGGATTTTGATTTGATTGCATCCAATCTACAGATCAGTACATTGTTCAAAAATGAGTCTTCTAATTCTTTTTTTTTTCACATGTGCACATATTAAGAAGAGAAGATATAAGATGGGGGAGACCTAACAAAATTTGTTTTTTTTCCAGCTTTATTGAGATATAATTGATGTATAACACTGTGTATTTTTAAGGTATACAATGTGATGATTTAATACATTTATAAATTGCAAAATGATTACCACCATAGCATTAGCTAACACTCCAACCAGTCACATAATTACCATTTCTTTTGTGTGGTGAGGACATTTAAGATCTACTCTCTTAGCAATTTCAAGTATGTAATAGGGTATTATTAGCTATAATCACCATGCTGTACATTACATCCCCAAAACTTATTAATCTTATGACTAGAAGTTTGCATCCTGGAAGTTTATCTTCCAGTCTTCGAACATGGTGTGAGTGTGTGTGTGTGTGTCCACTCATGCGTATACTCACACACATACATTTATTCAGTTAATTAAAAATTTTTTTCTCTATAATGTGTTTTGCACATCTTTTGTTAATTTTTTTTTTTTTTGGCTGCATTGGGTCTTCATTGCTATGCGCGGGCTTTCTCTAGTTGTGGCGAGCGGAGGCTACTCTTCGTTGCGGTGCTTGGGCTTCTTATTGCGGTGGCTTCTCTTGTTGCGGAGCACGGGCTCTAGGCGCTCAGGCTTCAGTAGTTGCAGCACACGGGCTCAGTAGTTGCGGCCCATGGGCTCTATGGTATGCGAGCTTTGGTAGTTGTGGTGTGCGGGCTGAGTAGTTGTGGCTCATGGGCTCTAGAGCACAGGCTCAGTAGTTGTGGCGCACGGGCTTAGTTGCACTGTGGCATGTGGGATCTTCCCGGACCAGGGCTCAAGCCCATGTTCCCTGCATTGGCAGGCGGATTCCTAACCACTGCGCCACCAGGGAAGTCCCTCTTTTGTTAAATTTATTCCTAGATAATTGCTATCTTTTTTAATGCTCTTCAAGTGTCTTATTTAAAGTCCAGATTTTTTGGCTCAGCCTCTGGAGAGTCTGATTGAGTAGTTCTGGGTGGGCCCAGTGATTCTGATGTGCAGCCAGGCCTGGGAACATGGGCCTCTCTGGGGCTCCCCTCATGATCTCTTTTCAAACGTATTCAGCCCCCTCCCCCTCCCAACTGGCCCCATCCCATAAGCTGATGAACAGGCTCAAGTCTCTCTCTCTTGGAGTAAGCCTGCTAATCCCCTCAAGGTCCTGCCATCACATTTTTTTTTCCTGACATCACATTTTTATCCCACTCACAGCCACACTTTCAGAAGGGGTTGTCTACACCTATGATTTCAACTTTTTATGCTTGTGTATACCTAAATAAATTTGAAAAACCATGTAGCCCCTCACACATTTTAAAATTGACATCTAATTCAAATCATCCTTACCCACCCCTGTGTCCTTCTGGTCTACCAAGCGGGCTTTTTCTCTTGGCTCCCTCATGCTCCCTCACCCTCTGCAGGGTGGCCTCTGGTGCCTAAATGCCACTAAATCTGCTCTACTCAAGGTCTTTAGGCTTCCCTGTCACTAAATTGCAGGGACAGTTTCAGTCTTTGTCTTACCTGCCTTCTCTGCAGCATTTGAAGCTCTTGGCACTCCTTCATTTTACATGCTCTCTCCCTGGGTGCCCATGACATCACACTTTCCTGCTCTCCCCTCCTCCCTTCTAACAAGCTACTTACTGACTGTGATGAGTGATTGAAGGGAACAAGCAGGCAGAG